TTTAACTGGGAAAACCAAGCCATTAGAGAGATATTGCAATTCCACATAACTACATGCACTAATGGTGTTGATATAATTAGTGACTCGAAAAAAATGTTGAAAAAAGGAAAAAAATAAAGACAAAAGAGAAAAAAGAAGAAAAAAAAAAACAAAAAAACAAAAAAACAAAAAAACACAAAAAAAACAAAAAAAAAAACAAAAAAAAAACAAAAAAATAAACAGAACATTTAAACCATATTAAGTTCAGGTTATTTTAGTTAGTTAAATAAAGCAAAATTAATGTAGTTTGAAAAATAATAAAGTCCGTTATACGATATTTTTATTTGTTCCCTGACAATTGACTGGCCTGTTGGTTTATATCCAGTGCCACTAACGTAGTTAAAAAATAAAGCGGAACCTGAATAATGGCATAACATTATTTCTAACCTTATTTTTCATTAAAAAAAAAACATTGATTTGATTTTTGTTCCAAATAAAAAAGTAAATATGGATAGTATTTTGGCAGAATTCAACTAAAAAGAGTATGGAGTATCTTAATTTCACCAAATGTGCTAGTGGCATAGATAAGGTGCTAGTGGACAGAGACAATGTAAATCTACACCGAATGAAGAAATAAAGTAAAATAACCACAATAAACAAAATTGAAATAACAATAACCTACAGAACTGCTTTCAAACTATCAAACTGATACATACGAAGGTAAGCGAACACATCCAAAAATTTATAAGGTTACAACTCTTCAAAGGTGGCTCCAGACCGCCTAATTTTAGAAGGGGGAGGAGGGTATTGTCATTAGTCATTAACTTTTTAGTATATAACTTTTTTTTAATAAAAGGCTCATGGATTGTAAGAATTTTCATTTCGGGAGAACGTCTCCCATGGCAATAACTCTATTGTAAATTATTGACAGTTATAAAAACTTTGTTTATCAAAATTATAAATAATTAAATTTAATCATCGTGCTGTCAAATCAAAATTAAACAAGTAAAAATTACAAATTGAATTAGGTATTCCAACGAACTGTCAAAATGTTGCTCGTGGGTAGTGACAGGTTATGATATGGCAACCGTGTGGGCCTATTAGGCATTCCAACGACCTGTCCAAATGGCTACCAGTCACATACTTTGATTTTCTTTTACTATACGGAGAATGGTCGCACTGCGCAGCTTTCTGAGTGCCTTTTAAAAGGAGATAGAAAACTCCGCCATTTTGAACCCTTATTACGTGTTGCCTACATCTTGGCGCAATATTTTTAATAGGTGGGTTTTAATCATCCGCTTCTGCTTCGGAATTGTCGGTTTTTTGTTTTAATCTGACAGGTTAAAACGACTAAACCGACAATTCCGGAAGCAGAAGCGGATGATTAAAACGCACCTGATATTTTGCTTGCTGCTGTCAGTGTCAGTGAATATTATTTTTGAAGTCACAGTTTATTGCTAAAGAATCAGTTAGCTCACTCGGACCAGTTGAAAGTTCCAAAACTACATCCACTCCAGGGATACAAATTCAGGATACGCAGAACACTGATGTTTTATTATAGGCGGTTGTCATATATTGTATTATCCGAGTTGCAGTGTATAAACTGAAACATTGAGATCAAAAGTGCCGACGCAGAGTGAGCGATCTGATTATTTAGCTGTAAACTGTGTCACAGGGTTCAAAATGGCCGCGCCCTATGTTGCACGTGTCGGACCTCTCTCTTGCCTCGTATAGTAATCAAAGTATGTGCTACCAGTGGATACTGACAGTTTAGATATGGCAACCCTGTTGTCATGTTGTCGTTAAGAGGGTCAATGATACATATATAGTTGTATAGATTGCTCAAAGCTGGTCGTTTGTGAGCGGCCATATTGTCTGGCAAATATTTATTAATTTGAATCGGTTTAGAAAAAATGTATTTTAAAACCAATTTTCAGCCTTTAGATATTAAAAAAAAATAATTGCTTACATTTTTACTTCAAGGCATAAGCTTATGTTTATTTTGAAAAATATGGATGATCAATCTATGTAACGATCTATTTCATTGCCTTGTCAAATCATCAGGCCTACAGGGTTGCCATAATTTTGCCATATCATAACCTGTCAAAACCCACTGGTAGCCATTCAGTTTAGAATGCCTAATTGTATTTGACAGTTATAAAGATTGCTCAAAGCTGGTCGTTCTGCGCACTGATTTGTATTATTTTACTGGATAGGATATATGCTATATTTAACATACTAAAAAACCGTTCCACCAAGGAGACCGGAAGTGCAACAATGCTGGCCGATTTAGGCAAATTATGGTGGGTTCACAGAACTGAAATTTGGGATAATTTGACATACCTAACCTATAATTTGATTAGTTTTTCTTCATATTCTTCTTCTATTCCTTTTGCGGGCGATGTCCTTCGGTAAAATTCACCCATGATTTGATTTTTTATGAAAGAAAATATAAAAGTGGAAACGTGAAGCATATTGTGTCTTCAGGAATGAACGTTTATTATTTATTTCATACTCTTTCAACTTTGTTTTCCACAATAAAAACATCTCATCGTAGCTTGTTGACACAATTAAATGACAAATGGAAATAGAGGTCACGTTAAATAACATCCGGTCCGCCATATTATTTGCCCAAATCGGCCAATTTTTCAGAACGTCTTATAGGGGGCTACATCCTATTGCCTATCAAGTGCTTATTAATCAGAATTAGTTTAGCAAAAATGTGTTTTAAAACCAATTTTCAACCTTTGAATATATATATCCGCTTCTGTTTCGGAATTGTCGGTTTTCTTGTTTTAATTTGACAGGTTAAAACGACTAAACCGACAATTCTGGAAGCAGAAGCGGATGATTAAAACGTACCTGATATTTTGCTTGCTGCTGTCAGTGTCAGTAAATATTATTTTTGGAGTCACAGTTTATTGCTAAAGAATCAGTTAGCTCACTCGGACCAGTTGAATGTTCCAAAATAACATCCACTCCAGGGATACAAATTCAGGATACGCAGAAGACTGCTGTTTTATTATAGGCAATTGTCATATATTGTATTATCCGAGTTGCGCAGTGTATAAACTGGAACATTGAGATCAAAAGTGCCGACGCAGAGTGAGCGATCTGATTCTTTAGCTATAAACTGTGGCATAGGAATCAAAATGGCCGCGCCCTATGTTGCACCGTATAGTAATCAAAGTCTGTGCCTTCCGATCTCAAAGTCATGACTAACCACTGAGCTAACCCACCCCCCAGTTATCTATTATTATTCATTTGTTTATCTGAGCTTTTTAACTGAAAATATGTCACATCCATATAGTTTTGAACATGCACAGTGAAGGGAAAGTATTCATATAGGTATATCGTTTTGCATAGAAAGCTTGAAATACAGCAGTTTGTATGTACATATTATGTTAAAATTACCAAAAATGAACATAAAGGTTTTGCCATCCAACTATAGAATAATTTTTTTGCGTAAAATTCTGTATGCTTCACAGAACACTTGTATGTCTTTTACGGTGTTTAAAATTTTGGTACATAATAACTGACGACATAAATTTCGTTACATGAGGTACGGATATTAATCAAGGCACTGTACAAATACTAGAATGGAATTTAGACCGCCTAAGATTACCAATTAAAAATTTTAATAAAGAAAAAGAAAAATAAAATGAGACAGACCTGGACCTAGAAAAAATAGTGGAAAATCGAGTTCATTAAATACAAAATACATAGGTGTTTTAAAGACAGCTACGAAAGGCGTGATAGACATTTTATTTTTTGTATATTTGAATTATTATAATTTTTAATATATAATTTTTTCAAGATGATAAATGAGTCAATAAAGATAACAAAACACGAATTTTTGGGTACTTAAAATGTTATTATTTAGATACAATGAAGAATAATTAAGGTTAAGTGGAAGACAAGTTTTATTGCGCGTGTCTCATAAATATTGCCTTTTATTTTAATGATTATTTGTAATAGACATGTTCTTATGGTATGTACAGTTTCCCAGCGCCATTTTAAGAAAAGCACTGTTAATTATAACCCAACAGTGAATGTCGAGTGGCGAATCCTACTTATGTTATATTATATGCTTGATTAAAACAACAGTTATATTAGTTAAGGTTAATTTAATAGAACATAAAAACACGTTTTCAACAAGACATTAACTTCTATGAATGAGCAACAACTGGGAGTCGTTCCCGCCGTCACCTGTATTTCCGGTAGGGTTGCCAACCTACAATGACAATGCTGCCAACTTAAACATATATATTGTGACACCTTCCTTTTATACAACACAAAAGCTTAATCTAAAATATAGTCTTTAAGGGTGAGATTACAGAACGTCTGCAACTTTTCGGTTTATTGCAATTCAATGAAGTACGAAATTATTTTAATCGAATACTAGATCTTGTTTTCTCTAATATAAAAGATTGTAAAGTAGAAAAAGCAGCAGACCCACTTGTACCAATTGATCCTTATCATCCAGCACTAATTATTGAGCTACCCTTTCGGCGGCACAAAAAGCTTTCACCGGCTTCTCCAAATGGATTCAATTTTAAAAAATCAGATTTTCGAAATCTTTATAAAATATTATTAGAAACAGACTGGTCTTTTCTAGATAGCGGCTATAATGTTGATGAAGTCTTAAACGCATTCTACGATAAGTTAAACTCTATATTTGCCCAACACGTTCCCAAAAAGACTCCAACTAACCAACATTATCCTTAGTGGTTTAATTCTGAAATCATAAATAGTATTAAACTAAAAAGTAAAGCTTGGAAAAAATTTGATTACTAAATATAAGTTCTGAAGAAAATATTAAGGCTGATCTTAAAACTTTTTGGTCATTTATAAATTTCAGAAAGGGTGATCTGTCAACGATACCCAACACTATGAATTTCGAAAACAAGCGTTTAAATCAACCTAAAGATATAGTGGATTCGTTTGCAATGTGTTTTTCAGGAAATTATACACCAATTGATAATACTGTTAAAGATTTTTTAGAATATCAAAATTATATCAATATAGTTAACATTACCCAAGTACCTAACGGAAGCTGAAGTACTAACTGTTCTAAAAAAATTGAAACCTAAGCCAACAAGTGGATCGGATAATGTTCCGGCATTTCTGGTGAGAGACTGTGCACAGGTATTTTGCAAACCTCTTACTAATATTTTCAACCTTATTTTTAAAACTCAACAATTCCCTGAAATGTGAAAGTTAGCTAGAGTTAGTCCAATCTTTAAAAATGGCAGCAAAAATGATATAACCAACTATCGCCCTGTCACAATTCTAAACAATTTCTCTAAATTTTTTGAAATACCTACTTGTGCATACTTTCCTTTCATTTCAGTTTCGCCAAATCATTATTCCAACGTAACATGGTTTTGTTGCTGGTCGCTCTACTGTAACTAATCTAATCTGTATAACTCATTATATTTCTGAAGTTTTGGATAGAAGAAGTCAGGTCGATGTTATTTACACTGACTTCTCTAAAGCATTAGATAGAATTGATCATAAACTTCTAATAAGTAAACTTTCAGCACTTGGATTTCATGGCTCCTTATTAAATGTTTTACAGTCATATCTATCAGATCGTTACCTTTATGTTCAGTGCTTAGGGCATAAATCAATGAATTTCAAACAAACATCCGGCGTCCCGCAAGGTTCGGTTTTAGAGCCTTTATTATTTCTGCTTTTTACTTTCCTATCTGTATACAGATATAAGGAAAGTATAGGAATCATGATTTTTTTCGACCTCGAGTTTTCGACGGATTTTTACGTTTTGAGGTCCCCTGAATCCGTTTTGACTATTTTCGCGATGATGTCTGTGTGTGTGTGTGTGTGTGTGTGTGTGTGTGTGTCTGTGTGTGTGTGTGTGTGTGTCTGTGTGTGTATCTGTATAACGCATAACTCATGAACCGATACACAGAAAAACACCAAATTTTAAACTTAAGCTTTGTTTCAGCGTCCAATGAGCTGATTAGATTTTGGGCAGTGTCGGAACATCTGGGGGGGTACTTTATAGATGGTCATTTTTATATTTTATGGAATATATCTGTTATTTACGTTTGGAGAAGAAAATTCTTCAAATAAAAGTTACTTCTAATATAATTATCTATAATTTTTGTTTTATGCAAAATTTTCCTAAAATGGTCTGTATTCGAGAAATTTGAGAAAATGTAAAAAACATAATTTTTTATAAAAATTGTTCAAATAAAAGTTGTTTGTAATATAATTCTCTATAATTTTTGTTCTATACATAATTTCTCTAAAATGGACCGTATTCGAGATATTTGAGAAAATGTGTAAATTTCGAAATTTGAAGAAAACTCAAAAACGGATAAAGGAAAAAACATTAAATTTTAAACTTAAGGTTTATTTCGGCCTGACGTGAAATGATTAGATTTTGGACAAAGTCGGAACATCTGGGGGCGGGGTACTTTATGGGAGGCCGTTTTTATATTTTATGGAATATATCTGTGATTTAGGTTTGGAGAAGAAAATTGTTCAAATAAAAGTTACTTCTAATATTATTATCTATAATTTTTGCTTTATGTCAAAATTTCCTGAAATGGTCCGTATTCGAGAAATTTGACAAAATGTGCAAAATTCTGATTTTTATGAAAATTGTTGAACTAAAAGTTGTTTGCGATATCGATTTCTATAATTTTTGTTTATACATGATTTTTCTAAAATGGACCGTAATGGAAAAGTGCTAAATTTAAATTTTTCTGTATTTTCGTTTTCAATGAATATCTATAGAAAAATGTTTCGAGGTAGATGTATGTGTAAAATGTATATATTTAGTTTATCCTCTAAACATTTATAGAGATGCTGCAATAGGTTGTACAAAATAACCGGAAAAAGCCTATAATAACTAGATAGGAAAGTCATGTGTTGGACACATCAGATTTTTATTAATGATATTGTTTGTAATTTGAGCGTCACAAATCTATTGTTTGCCGATGACCTAAATTTTTTTTATGAAATATCTAGTTATAATGATTGTTTATTGCTTCAAGAGAATCTTAACAGCTTAAACGAATGGTGCAAAAGAAATATGTTACTGTTAAATGTTAAAAAATGTAATGTAATGACATTTACTAGAAAGAAAGCACCAATACTATATAATTATAACCTAGAAAATTATACATTAAATCGACCAGAACTGATTAAAGATCTTGGAGTTTTCTTTGATCCAAAATTAACGTTTACATCGCATATTGAAAAAACAACTGCTTCTGCTTATCGAATTTTAGGTTTTGTTATAAAGAATATGAGATTATTCAATCACTTTTCAACGATGAAAATACTTTTCTCTTTGCTGGTTTTGTCAAAATTAGAATATGCCAATATCGTTTGGAGTCCGATATACTCCAATCACATTAACCATTTGGAAAGAGTCCAACGAAGATTTACGTATCCTATAAGAGAACTTCGACAAAGTTATTATTTAAACCGGTTCAATACATGTAGTCTTTCAAAAAGGAGAGCAATGCACTCGGTGATATTTCTGTTCAAGTTATTAAATAACAAGGTGGATTGTATTTCATGTTTGGAAATGTTAAACCTTCACGTCCCTAGAGTTAATTCCCATAGAAATCAACTATTCTATCAATAAGCACATATAACTAACATTTACAAAGCATCGCCTTTATTTCAAATGATCCTAAACTATTCGAACATTGAAGATGATATAGATATTCTTAACTGCTCTGTTGCATCTATTAGAAGTATCTTTTTGACAAATTAATTTGCGCAGTAATTATTAAAGGTGGAAATGGATGCATCCTTTTTTTCTTAGTTTTTTTTCAGGATGCACCCATGTCTGTTTAAATTCGTGTTCATTTAGATTTAAGTTTATATATGTATATACATAAGAATAATTATTTATGTTAATTCCCAATTCTTGTAATATTCCTTTCCTTATCCTGTAATTAGGGGCAACCCTGTTGGATATTGTAATAAAATAAATAAAAATTAAAAAAAAAAAATAAAACTTTGCAGATATGCAAATATGGCGGACTTATAGATGCAAGTATCAAGTTTTGTATTTCAAAAAATATCTGCAAATTCTCAATATTTATTGTGATTTATTACCACCAACATTACTAAACCCAAATCCATTATTATATTTAAAAACTCTCTAATCTAACACCCCGAACTGTATTCATTCAAAAGGAACAGAAGACTTCATGGTTATTAAAAAAAAAGTAAAGTAAAAATTGACAATCTGCAAGTTTGTAGGATGTTCTAACCTCCTACAAAGTTATAGATGATTTGCAGACGTAAAAAGTAAAAACACGTTTCTGTAATACCATGTTTCTCTTTTGCAAGTACAACTGATATTTGCAGATGCAAGTAGGATTTGCAGAACTTCTGTAATCTCACCCTAAATATGTCAGGCAATTTCTTCTTTCGCTTAACTCTATCAGACCTATGATCTCTACTCTGATCTGATTCATTTTTATATCTGATTCCCGTACAGTTTCACCACTTGTATTATCACTGCTTATATCTATATTATAATGACCATTTACATTATTATTAACCCAAGATTTTCTTAAGTGATAACTATTTCTTCTTAAAGTTTGACCCTTGTGTGTTCCACCTTAGAAACACCCTGATTAAATTCTTCCCTTTCCCTAACATTTCACTCATATTAATATTTATATATTTGCCTCTTTTGATTCAGATCTTTAGTAAATTCTTTCATCTGATTATCTTTTACTTCTAATAAAGGTAGCTTAGTTTTTAATTTTTGCTTTAATAACACTTGAGCAGGGGATCCTTTTTAACCCTTTAATGAAGTATTGCGATATTCCAATAAAGCATATTTTTCACTATTTGCTCTTTCTGCCAACCCATTACTTCTAGGGTATCTGGGACTACTAAATTTAAACTCGAAACTCCAATCTCTAGCAAATTGTACTCATAGGATGAGTATGTTATGTTATGTTGAGAATGGGGTGTTAATACACTGCGACCTAAAAGATCTATTGTGCCCCTTCTGTCGCCACTGCACTAAGGAAATGTCTCAATGCCTATAGCGACCCTTCCAATCCTATTTTCTCAAGGAAGTGTAGGATTTGAAGTGGCTTCAAGTTAGGTAAATCTCCGCTTCTATTTGATATCCTCCTAGATATAGTGCCCTTGGATTCTGGAGTGCTACACATTCAGTTAGGATGTGAATGGAGGTTTCGTCCTCCTCCTCACAGAATCTGCACTCACAATCCTTTACTACTCTCAGTTTACTTAGGTGTAGCCTGTTCTTGCTTAGGCAGATGCAAGCTTCCGATCTTTTCTGGTTATATTCACCCAGAAGTATCTTGGCCTGTCTCAGCCCCAAGAGATTGTTCCAATTATCGGTTCTTCTACTACCCAATTCTTTTTTAATCTCTCCTAATAATATGTTACTGCTGATACCGCAGAACGGCTCAAGTACCACAAAGGGTGCTTGAGCCCCTTTCCTTGCAAGATTATCTGCAATCTCGTTACCCTGTACCCCGTTATGTCCTGGGACCCAAGTGAGAGTAACTCTATTTTTCTCGCCTAGCTCATTCAATTGTTCTAGGCATCTCCAGACCATTTTTGGTTGCAAGCGCGATGGATTCTTGGCTCCATTCTTTCTTGCAGCCCAGCTCTGTGGTTTTGAAGTTTTTCACAAAACTGTACTTCTTTTGCATTTCATCATGGGGCATGTCCCAGGTATCTTTAGTCCTAAAGCAAGTAGACTTTCGTCTGATTACTCCGTTCCTGAACATTCTATATCGTGTCCTTTTTGCCACATTCTCTATCATCAAATGTAGAGGAGTGAGGTTTAAGATCACCTCCATTGCGGCCGTAGGACATGATGATAATCTCTTGTCTATGATGGTAAATCGTGAATTTCCGCCTGGAAGATGCTTGGGTATTTTCCCAAGCTTTCGGAGTGCTTGGTTCTCGGCCCATACACTCCTATTCCAGTTCCTTCTATGGTTTTGGAACCGTCCGTATACCACTGAATAGCACGTCTTTCGGTTGCAAGCGCGATGGATTCTTGGCTCCATTCTTTCTTGCAGCCCAGCTCTGTGGTTTTGAAGTTTTTCACAAAACTGTACTTCTTTTGCATTTCATCATGGGGCATGTCCCAGGTATCTTTAGTCCTGAAGCAAGTAGACTTTCGTCTGATTACTCCGTTCCTGATCATTCTATATCGTGTCCTTTTTGCCACATTCTCTATCATCAAATGTAGAGGAGTGAGGTTTAAGATCACCTCCATTGCGGCCGTAGGACAGGTTCTCATTGCACCAGTAATGCAAACACAGGCTAGTCTTTGTACTTTTGAGATATTAGCTCTCGTAGTAGCTAAACTAGTTCTGTTACTCCAGGCTATAGCCCCGTAAGTAATTATTGGTCTCACTGTTGCAGTATACATCCATCGCAGTATGTTTGGCTTACATCCCCATCGTTCATAGGATGAGTAAGGCATATTATCTGAAATGATAACATCAGGTATCCCATGAACTGAAAAAACCTGTTTCAGAGCCTTTGAACTCTGCTTACCTTTAAATAATTTTACATCTAACCATTTTGTTAGATAATCTATAATAACAATGTAATTTTTGTTATTATATTCAACAATTTCAGTTGCAATTTTTTGAAATGATAGCTGTGATATTTCATGTAAAATAAGAGGTTTTTTTTCATATATACCTCGGTATCTTTCACAAAACTGAACACTCTATGCTTATAGATATACCTGGTCAAAATAGTACTTGTTTAGCTCTATCCCATGCACGTACTTGTGTTTGCAATATTTTTTAATGCATTCGCCATTCTTATACAGGGTGTCTGTAAAAGGTCTTTACAAAAACATACCACATATTCCTTAGACCAAAATAAGTCGATTTAAGTAAAATTACCTTAGTACAAAGTTGCTTCGTTTGGCCTTGAAATTACAATTTTTAAATCGTTTTCCCATATAAATTTAAAACGCCATATGCGATTTTGCTGAAATTTGGTATATTGGTAGAGTTTTATGTGGCAAAAAAATGGTATTAAAATTTTGTCCGATAATAATACATAGGCGTAGAACTTGATTTTTTAAATAATTGCACCTTTAAAAATTCTATGCCAATGGAAGAAAAGGAGTTTTAATATGAAATTTAGATTGCGCAACTCATTTACTTTAAAAAAGGAACTCTTGATAAGACTTGATTACTCTCATGGTTTTGACGAAATTTGCATTTTATTAATTTTAGAACATAAACAATAATTATTAAAATACAAACTTTGTCAAAACCATGAGAGTAAATCGAGTATTATCAAGGGTACTTTTTTGTAGTAAATGAGTACCCAATCTAAATTTTATACTCAAACCCCTTTTTTGCCATTGGCGTAGAATTTTTAAAGGGGCAATTATTTAAAAAATCAAGTTCTACGCCTATGTATTATTATCGGACAAAATTTTATACGATGAAAAACATAAAAATGTACTTTTTTCATATCTACTTCAACACCTCTAATCGAGACTTTTAAAAAAATACTCGATTTTTGCCATGTACGATTTTTTGAGGAATATTAATTATTTGCCTGCAATACGCATACAAAAACATTTATTGTTGGTTTCCGTAGTTTCATCTAAATAAAAATATTGTCAAGTTTTAACACCTAATCTCTTGTTAACGATTGAAAGTGTTCTATCTGACTCAATAGTTAAAAAAACAAATGCGTGGTTTATTAATAGTGCTGTACAATATACCAATGCAGAATATACCGATATGTTACTAACATTAGGATTTTGTGAAGGAAATGCTCGAGAGAGTGTCAGGGTGTACTCTGAAAGGTTTCCAAATCGTCGTGTACTTAGCCACCCAACTTTTGCTGCTGTTGAGAGACGTCTTCGGGAGACCGGTTGCTTTGCTCCCAACACTGTTGATAATGGAAGAGAACGTTTTATAAGGATTCCTGAAGTGAAGAAGACATTTTAGAACGTGTTGAAGAAGATCCAGAATTAAGCACCAGACGAATTGGAAGGGAACTAGGAGTAAGTAAAGATGTCGTTCATAAAGTGCTTAGAGAACAATTGCTCTATATACATACCATAAGAAGCCAGTACAAGAATTATTAGTCCATGATCCTCAAATTCGTTTGGGTTTTTGTCGATTTGTTAATATGCAAAGATAAAGAGATCCAAACTTTGTCAAGAAGGTTCTCTTTACCGATGAAGCGGGTTTTACAAGAAGAGGTATAACTAATACCCATAATGAACATGTTTATGCCGTTGAAAATCCGCATGCAATAAAGGTAAACCATTTTCAGCACGAATTCAAAATTAATGTGTGGGCTGGAATAATTGGTAATTTCATTGTTGGTCCTGTCATACTTCCACGAAGATTAACTGGAGAAAATTATTTGGATTTTCTACAAAATACGTTGCCAGAATTGTTAGAAGATTTACCTCTCCAACTTCGGAGAGATATGTGGTTTATGCAAGATGGAGCTCCACCACATTTTTCTTTAAACCTTAGAAATCACTTGAATGAACAATATCCACACAAATGGATAGGCAGACATAACACCGATGGATTACTTTTTATGGGAACATCTGAAATCCACAGTTTACAGGGAACCTGTGGAAAATGAGGAACAACTCTGGCAACGTATTCAAGATGCAATAAACAATCTTAGAGGTGATGAAGAAGTTATGGAAAGAATACATTTTAATTTTCTTCGACGTATAAATCTTTGTATGCGTGATAATGGTGAACATTTTGAACAATTTTTGTAAAATCTCTATATTGATTATGTTGTAAACAAATATTTTTGTGAAACCTATACACTCTAAATTATTAAAATAGAAATTTAGCGAAAACCATGAGAGTAATCGAGTCTTATCAAGAGTACCTTTTTTAAAGTAAATGAGTTGCGCAATCTAAATTTCATACTCAAACTCCTTTTCTTCCATTGGCGTAGAATTTTTTAAGGTGCAATTATTTAAAAAATCAAGTTCTACGCCTATGTATTATTATCGGACAAAATTTTAATACCATTTTTTTGCCACATAAAACTCTACCAATATACCAAATTTCAGCAAAATCGCATATGTCGTTTTAAATTTATATGGGAAAAACGATTTAAAAATTGTAACTTCAGGGCCCTCTGGAGCCCAAACAAACGAATCAACTTTGTAATTTTACTTAAATCGACTTATTTTGGTCTAAGGAATATGTGGTATGTTTTTGTAAAGACCTTTTACAGACACTCTGTATAACTGTAAAATTGTTAAATATGCTGATATAAAATTTTGTATCAATTAAAATACATTCAGTAAGGCTATGAATAAATAAAGTCTGACTTATCTGTCAAAAGAAAATGTTTATTACAGTAAAAAACATGGAAACATGTTTAAATCTAAACGAAAACTTTTATTAGACCGATCAAATGCTCTAAAATTTTTATTATAACTACAAATAAGCATTGAAGGATGAGGTATAAATAAAATCTGTACCTTTTGAACCTATACTACGTTCTGCAAATTAAATTACTGCATTCCTTTCTTTTCTAGACTAAAGCGGTTAACCATCGATGACGTGGAATGAATGATGAATGCGAAAGAAAGAAAACTAAGAAAGTGAAAAAATCTTCATCTTCAAACTTATTTTCTGAATAATAACGATAACAATTCAGCAATACTCCAAATAATTAAGATAAGCAAGTCAAATTTTTTCTTTAAAATTATGCACGATTAAAAAAAGATAAAAAAATTATACCTATAAAAGAACCGATTAAATTTGGTAAATTCATAATTGTGAAAACAATTTGAAACCAACATGAAGTACGCTCTTGCTCTATTGGCACTCGGTAAGATTTTTTATACATATTTTTATTTATCAATCTGGAATTTAATAAAAATAATATGAACGATATTTCTATTATTTATTATGTATATTTTTTAATTTTTATACTTTTTTCTTTAAACATAACCTGCTGAATATATTTTCATGAACTCGTATTAATTGAATCTGCAGTTGGTCCATCTTTAAATGTTCTGACATAATATGGCGACATTGAGGTAATCTAAAATGTATTATAAATATTGTAGATATTATACAAATACAAGTTACATGACGTCACCATTACATTTACATAAACTAGAATACTTATTTAAAATTTCAAAAAAGAAAGCAAATGATAAGCCTTTCATTATTTAATTCAGACCAAGATATTTGCCTAGCAAGAGTCTTGTTAAAATGTATAAAAACCACTAAAGACCTAAGGCGTAATTGTGGTAGTATCTTTTTTACAATAAGAAAGCTGCATCATGCAGTCTCCACGCATACCATCAGCAAATGGATTAAATCAATTTTAAGCTAGAGCAGGCTTGATTCAACAATTTACCCCTTGCATGCCTCTACATCTGCGGTTGTCAATTGTTATGCTATCCAATTAGCAGCAGGTTGGACAGAGAAGTCAAATATGTTTTCTACAGAGTACAATTGGCCTTTGGCTCCGAATAATGGATTTGCCAAAGCAGTTTTCAGTTTGTTTTTAGAACAAATGTTTAAATAGAATTTGTACTATACAAATAAAATGTTCTATCGTAATTGTTGTTACAACTGATTTGAAGTGAAGTCCAATCTTAATTATATGATGCCTCGTCGAAGTAAATAAGTCTCACATCTAATATTTTTACAGTCCCCTGTGAGTTGTAACAAGTATGCAATAAAATGATAAAGCAGAGTATTAGGATTGGGGGATCAGTGGAGAAGGGAATACAGCAAATAGTTCCAGCTTTCAACTATGTGATTCAAGCATAACACATTTTTGTTTTTGTTTTAGTTGCCGCCGTTATGTCCGAAGACATCCACTTCGAAACTGTTGTCGGAGGTAAATCAGGAAATGGTAAAACCACCCGTTACTGGGATTGCTGCAAACCATCATGTGCATGGAAAGAAAACATCAAAACCAGGGACATGAAACCAGTCAACACTTGCGCCAAAAATGGAAGGAATACCGTAAGTAACATCTCTGACATATGTATTATAAATAAATACTACCTTAGGAAATTCAAAGATTGAAACAATGTCTTTAAAATAGTTGCTAGGGTAATTTCAGTCGGTTAAAAATATTGTCAAATGAGATTAATTTCCTTATTTACCATAATATTTGATAATATCAGTTGTTAACAAAAAATTATTTATCTTTATATTGAGAAAGCAATTATTTGGGTTTTTTAATAAGTAATGGAAATACTATATATAAACAATTTAATTGGTTAAGTATATTGTATTAATAAAATTATATTTATCTAAATTTTCAGCTCTCGCCTTCAGTTCAATCTGGTTGCAACGGTGGTAGCGCCTACATGTGCAACAGCAACCAACCATGGGCTGTTAACAACACCCTTGGTTATGGTTTCGCAGCTGCTTCATTCGCCGGTGGTGTAGACACCAACATGTGTTGTGCTTGCTTCAAAGTAGACTTCACCGACCAAATTGCTGGAAAAAGTATGGTCATTCAAGTAAGTTTCTCTTATTTTTAAACTATCTAACACAGTCTCCTATAAAATATTAACTTCTTAGAGTATGCGAAGATGCTTTATTTATTTAATTTCTCTAGGTAACCAATACTGGTAGTGACTTGAGCTCCAATCACTTCGATATTGCACTTCCCGGAGGTGGTGTAGGTATCTTCAACGCAGGTTGCCACAATCAATGGAATGCCCCATGGAACGGCTGGGGTGACCAATACGGAGGAGTCAAAAGTAGAAATGAATGTTATACTCTTCCTAAGGATCTCCAATCTGGATGTCTCTTTAGATTCGACTTCTTGAAGAACGCCAATAACCCAGGAATGAGATTCAACCAAGTCAAATGTCCCAGGGAAATCGTCGCCAAATCTGGATGCAGCCTTGACCCTTAAATTAGCATTTTAGCTAAATTGTCTGATGTTTTAATGAGAATATGTTTATTAATTTAATAAATGTTTTATATTTATTAATACATGTGCGTTATTTTAAATTTCTTTAATTATTTTACCAAAAATACGAATTACAAACCACGAGATAAAGTTAGTAAACTGGTACGTCGTAGCTTTTTCACACTATCAGGGTTTTTGGAATAGAACACGATACAATCTAGGAAAGTATTCACATTCCAAACAAATCTTAACGACATATTCATATCATCTACTATAACGCCTCTATATACTGACTGAAGTTAAATACAACAATCTTGCATTTGAAAAAATTGCATTTTGAAGTTTAAAATACTTTTACTTTTGTGAACCGACTCTAAGTGAAATTAATTTTTTTTGTTTCAACAGCATCAACTGCTTTAGTTATTAGCCTTATGTTCTATGTAGACTTTATCACTGTTTCCCAAAGTCACTTTAAGAAGAGCATTGTTTAATTAGAACTCAACAGTGAATGGTCGAGTGGGGTATCCTACCTATGCAAAGTTATGATCCTAACCACTGAGCCAACATTCTACAACTGCAACTGGTTCTAAGAATCTTTCCATAAGAGAGCAGAAGAAAATGTTGTTAAAACAATCTCGACGTTGGTAAAAAATTGCATACAAATAACTAATTGATTTTGCCAGTTAAATTAAAAATTAATGAAATTTAATTTTTGGGCCTTTAATAAATAATTGATCACTCAATTTAGAAGTATTGTTCAAAGAATCAAAAGATATTAAGGCTTTCAAAAATTTCCATAAATTAATTAAGCTGAAGATATTTCTATCAATTAACTGTTACGCATTTGTTGTACATTATCAATAAAACTAATTATCATTAAGTGCGTTTTAGAATATTTTGTTTGTATATGTTTTAAAGGAATATAGATTTATAGGAATATATGGATATCATACAATTTTTTTTTTATGGAAACTCCCAAAAATTATTTGTAGAAGTTTATGAAAGCAGAAAATTACCTTCTAAAACCATGCAACCTTTGCAATCTGTCAGTTTAAGGCATGTTATTTTAAATGTTTTAACGAGTGATCCACAAAAAATATTTCTAAAGTAGGCCATAATCGATAAAGGTGTGTTAGTGTTAACTAAGCACTGAATTAATTCCAAAGTAGTACTAAAAAAGAAGAAGAATCGTACGCTCCGACATGCGTGAATTTTTCCAAGGCCTAATTTCAAAACATTTGTGTGGATTACTTCAAACTTTTGTGATGTGTTAATATGTGAGGGTGCATAGTTACTTGGGTCATTTTATGAAGAAAAGTTGATATGAACATATATCCCGCAACGGCTTAATATTTTTACTATAAACGTTTTTTTAAGCGTCATTTTTTAATATTTCTGCGTTAAGTACTACCTTAATATAATATAAAACCATTTAGTTAGAAAAATTATTGTAATGTGAGCCATTTCATTATTCAACCATGCTCTAATCCTCCAAGTCCTTTCTGTCTTATTGTGTCTTTGAGGCGCAACTTGTCCGATTATCATACCTAATTAAACCCCTTAAGACCAAACATATGTGACGACTGTGGCGAAGGCGCTTTTGAGTACATTCCAGATTGAACGTGATAATGTTACCTAAGTACTTGCTTGCAATTTTAGTAATATATGTACCTACCCTATATAATTAATTATTTCAAACATAAATAAAACCAACAACTATTATCTGAGTCTTTTTAGTTCCGATTGGTTTTGACAGAGTAGTTTTAATCATGGTTTTCTTCCATCTACTTTTAACCATAAAGTCATACCTAGCTGAATTTTTGGTCATTTTAAACTTTTGACTGTAGCGGGTCAAATTTTTTAATGTATGTCATCTGCAGCAGAAAGACCTACATGTTTTATATTTAAAAGTAATTAATTGTCCTTTCTACAAATTCTGCTGTATTTTACTGAAATATATTAGTAAAGGGGCAGCACTGATTCTGGCGCAATCCTTATGTAAATGAACGTGTGAAATCGCTAAGGTTCAAAATAGCAATTTTTGTCTCTCTCAAGGTCACACGTCGAGAATCATCAACTAACTTGTCGAGCCACCAACGGGGTAGTGGGGGGAGTGGGGGATTAAATATCTTTTAACGTCGAATAGAATTTTTGGGTAGAACGAAAAGCCAGAAGGACCTTAGCGTATATCTCAGCTATCGTTGTTCCGATTTAAACGGGAAAAACGGCGTTATGAAGAGAACGGGGTATAGATTAAAGTTGAACAGAAAAATCATGTGTAAAGCCAGAAGGGTCTTAGCGTGTAACTTCACGGCTGTTAGCCCGATTCAAACGAGAAAAAACGGCATTACGTAGAGAACATGGTATAGATTAACGTATAAGAGAAAAATCATGCGCAGAACGAGCTGACCCCTTTCATCCCCCGCGAACCACCCCCTCATTGAAAAATCGATCAATCATAGTGTGTGATACCTCGTTGGAAAGGGCTTTAAGAATAGATTACACTAAAATATTTAAAAAAATTCCAACTGCCCCCTTTCATCCCCCGCGAACCACCCCTCATTGAAAAATCGATCAATCATAGGATCTTGGACACCAATGCTTTTTAAATGAAAAACATGTAGTTCACTCTGGACAGTAGAGTGCTGGTGTGGACATTCAAGTAAAGATTGGACAAATATTGCTAATAATTTAAATGGGAGAAAGTTATTGGTAATAGGGTAAAGTCAACATTGGACAATGAAAATAAAATTGTCTCTCTTTGAAGCTCAGCTTTTTTATTTAGGCCCATTTTCAGTAAACTTGTAATTAGTTTCTTTTTCCTAATTTGTTTTTCTTTGTAATTATTCCTAATTTCAATTCCCCGTTCGGTTTTGTAAAATTGTCTCCGTTTCTCGTTAACTTCTTCCCTCCGCCTTATTCCTTCGGCACCTCTATCACAT